CTATACTGTTAAAAAAGAAATGAAATGAAATGAATATATTAAGAGAACATTTTGTATTATTCAGTATTATTCAATCGATTTTCCACTAATGAGAATGAAGAAACATACAACTTTTTTAAAAACTGTCATTGGGACATTTCATCAAACATAACTCTGTATATTCAATTGTTTCTTCTGTAGAAAGTGACATTCTATCAACCTAGTAAATAAGACCTTCAATAATCATTATTCTTCGGTTAGATTTATTAAATTAAACACAGACTGTCTTCTTATAAATTAATGATAAAGTTCTAAGTCGTTTTTTTCAAGTAAATTATTCTTGTCCTGTGATCTGATCCCAAAAATATTCACTGAACAAAAAATATATTTTCAAGAACAACAGATGATAGGAACTAGTAAAATTAACAGTGATAGCTGATATCGACAGTTTCAATGGAAAAGATCCTCATTATGAAATTTTTTTTTCAATTTAAAGCAGTATCATATAATAATGAGGAACGTCTGATGGCATTGATACTTTTGTTTGAATTCAAGACTGTTTAACTCACCCATGAATAATAAGATCATGCAGACTTATTTTATGGTGCTAAAACTGTGAACTGTCTTCATTTTAAATGGTTTTTCTACTAGCGTATGAATCCCACTTAAATCTGAGATCAATAGATCATATAATACAACAATGGTCATCATAACTGATTAAGCAAAATCCATTTATCACCACAAATACAAACAACAAGTAAACAGTTCTGGAGTGCTTCGCTGTGTTTAATAATTTTCATGTGCGTGTATATGAACATAAAAACACAGACATCAGCCAGCATAACAAACATTTAAGAATAGTTTAACATCTACTGAAATGGTTACGAAGAGATAAACAAATTTTAATACCTGGATAAGAGTAGAATCCATCCTATTCGATTGTGAAACATTTTCTAGGACTGATCTACAACTGCTTACATAAAAGTCTATTGAAATTTTTAGGCAGGAAGATTTTTAGCCAATCCTATATATTTAAAAACTATTTACCATTGCATCACGAATACGCCAACAGTGCTAATTATAGTTTTTACTACTAAGAGCAATTCTGGTGATGTTTTTCAGCGAGACTATATATTTATGAACGAACCAATGAAATTAATGATGGCAACCCTTGAACTTAGGTGCAAAATTCATACATTCATATGGCTAAATAGCATTTTGGGATTATAATTGATACCAGTTTGTGATGTAAATCCCAACTCTAATTACCAACCATAATTTCTAACTCTAGATCCTAATTCCGATTTTCTCAAAGTCATTTTAGCGTCGCTCAAAGGTCATCTATTAATTATAATCTCATCGATATCTGATAAGATGCCTAAAACTAGGCCCGAAATTCAGATCTTAATTGGTTGGGACGTGAACGATCAACAAACTGGGTATTGTTAATCGATTTCCAGATATATATTACCAGAACCTACGCGTGTTTCGTTTTCATTTCATTAGTAAATGTTATCCCAGTATACATGTATGTGTGCTCACCCTCATAGTTCTGTGTTCTTTGTAAAAATTCCTGTCACAGTGGAATAGGAAAAGTGTTTTGGAATATCGATAAGATATCACAAACATACCCTTAAGAGTACTTAATAAATACATTTATTTTAATGGTTTATTTCTACTGCAATATGTTTTTTTTATTTTATTAAAAATTTTGTGCATACTACATATCCTGTGGTAGAGAACAAACCAGCTTTAGCTGAAGAGGTAATTAAGAAAAGACCCTGGACATGGATAGGAAATGCATTGCGGGAATCATCAAACCTGATTACAAGCTAAGTTCTAACTTAAAATTCTCAGGTCAAAAGGAAAACAAACAAACTAAAGAACATATTACGAAGCGAATTGAAAATAGACATCAAAAGAGTGGATGGCAATGAATCATTAGGCGATTTCTCCTCAACAAAGTGTACTGCTATCCGTTTTCCTATTCATAACTTATCTACCATATATAAATTTCAGGGAATGAATGATCTGTCAAGCTTTATTCTATCTTTTAAATAACAACATGAAAGAAGATAAATTTTTAATATTTCCTGGGAAAGCAATTTTTTGTTCACTGAAATAATATTTTTGTAAGCTGATAGTGAATCTACATGGTACAAGTTTATTGAAGATGATCAGTGACGCAAGGCTAAGTCTCCTAAGTAAGTTAATTTGACATTAAACAGTTTGAGGTAAGTGACAGGAAAGCATTAACTGAAGTATTCGTCCCGACTGTTTCTCATCAGTAGATTTATATGAAATTTTGGAGAAACTGATGCTCTGAAAAAGATTTAAATATACAAAACTCAAAATCACAACAGAAACACTACGACTTAGTTATTTCTGTCATAAGTGACTTTGAGTAAAACTGAATTTATTGTAATAGACGGTTACACAAGACTATAATATTGTATTACCGCTAAAGGTTAGACAAAGAAAGACATAGGTTAATAATATTTGAATTATTAATTTACAGTATAGGTTTCACTATAGTACTTGGTTAACAGAACCAGCTATCTATGTTTGAAAAGGTGGTAATTCTTCATTTATATAGTGAAGGTATCAGACAGATCTTACTATTTATTATAGGATAAAGGAAGATGAAATACCATACCATCTTCCATGTTTAATCATAGCATTTAAATTAAGTACGGGGGAATATAAACCAATTATGGAATTTTTAGTGAAAATAATATTACATATTTTAGTATTCATTGTCTAATGATATCAGCTAGAAAAACAAACATTTAGAGTTAATCAGTGGTTAACAGTTATTATAATCTAATTTAAGACTCATAATCAGTATTGGTCAAGGTTAAGTAGCAAATTATAGATAATTTGGCGAGACTACAAGTTATGGACGAACTAATCAGATTTACGATAACAGGTCTTAGATTTTGGTGCGGAATTCATTCATCTATTGGGCTAAAGAATCTTGGAATTATAGCTGATGTTAGTTTGTGATGAAAACCGTAAATCTGATTCTCAATACTAACCATCAACTGTAAATCATAATCCTTATTCTTCAAAATGTTTTATAACCCTCATTTAGCTGTAGTATGTAGGTGGACACTTTCAAAGTCTCTTTGGCGTTGCTCAAAGGTCGTCCATAAATTATAGTCTCACCGATATTTTTATGTATCAGAATGGTTAAATGTCAACATTATCTAAGATCTAACATTGTTGAACATAATCATTCAAGGAATTAATTAGTAATGTACAGTTATGACAGTTGTTAATAAGTAGGCATTAATTGATAAAACGCTATCGATTTCCGATAAAAATAATATGAATCATATATTCAATGTAACAGTTGGTAATTTATTTGTAATTATGAAGATTTTTCAACAATAAACTATTCAACATATAACTGTTGTTTTTAGATGAAGAATGATCAATAGGATTCATTCTGAAGTTAGGACAATCTCTAACCTATCAACATAATGATTTAAGTTACTAGTCACGGTGATTGCTTTTCATTTGAAGAAAAATTAATGAAATATTTACAATTTACTACTATTCATTAGGTCTTGTTATTAATTAATGGCTAGTATTTCTGCTAGAAGAAACAATTCCAGAGTTATAAACTAATTACTATTAAATAAAATAAAACAATTAAATCTTTTTCAGTTAAATTAATACAATCATTTTGTGTGGAGACATTTATCCTGAAAAACCTATCTATATTAAACATATTACTTATCATTTATTAGTAAGTAGTTAATTTGATCTTAGTAACTATGCAACTTATGATTTCAATATTTTACTCTGTGAAGTTGTACAGGCTAAATGTTGCATAAGATGGGAATGGGAACTTCACTTAGTTAAAATAAAATGCATTTAGTCTTTAAATTTGAAGTTTTTTATATTGTTTCTTCCTTAGTGTATAAATATAATAAGTCTTCTAATTGAAAGCTAGATTTGGTTCCTAAGCTCTTCTATTAACTCCCAGACTAAATCTACACAACAACCTGAACAGAAGAGGAAAGGCGCGAAACATGGAAGATACGCTTTACTCCAAAGGTTCGTTTGTGCACAGAAAATCTAAGGCATTTATTGTATTGTAGATGATATTGGGTTTCTGGAAAATTCTGGAACGCTACTAAACATAATAACCGTATAAGTAATCATCCAATCGGAAAGTCGACATGTGACTTTTCACTTTCTAGATGTTTCTGGCAAAGCTTTTATTGGATCCTGATTGGATAAGATGTTTCTCAGAGTTTTCAGAATCTTCGTTGGCTTTTTTCAAGGAGTTAGATAGCTGTGAATAAATCCTTATTGTTTGTCTTATATTTCAATCGCTTTAGTGAACTAGTTTTTTTTCTAATTAAAAGACTTACCGCCAAATGGTTCAAGAACTGTTACGAGAATAATTTATTGTAAAATGTCATGGTAATTTTTTGACTGATTTAACACACTAAGTAAAATCTATACTTACTACTTATAATGATTATTTAACGAATGAAATGAATAAATTTTCTCAAAATGATTGTTTGCCATTTAAGTAATAGGAGACTGTTTACAACATAAAACAATACTTATCAAAATAATTAATGTAGAACATTACATATATAAGTGAGCAATATTGTTTTCGATTAGATGCTCATCAGACTTTATTATAATATACAGTAATATTTATATGCAAATAAGAAATTATTAAACCAACCAAGGTAGTTTTTCTGAGTCGATGATAACAATGGAAATGATTACATAATCAATAAAAAGTACAAATTGATAATGTGATGACATATGTATTAGTTGTGATAACAAGAATAAAGGCTTAAATCAATGTTACACAATCGAAAATAGGTCAATGATTCGTATATGCATATAAATACTACTGTATATTAGAGTAAAACCTGATGAAGATCTAATCGAACACAATATTGTTCATTTATATAATTAGCAACAATATAAACAAAATTCTAATTCTACTATTAAATATTCCATATATATATTACTCAGTTAAAACTTACTTCCATAACGGGTATTTCGATATTTGTAGGCACTTTGTTGTTGATTATCTCCTGGCATATTTGTTTTTTGAATTTTCAATCAACTTAAATCATAAACTTTCCAGTGAATTTTGTTCAAAGGACAAAAAAAAACGGTATCTTGTCACCGTTTATTAAATCTAACTGTTCGAAAGTTTAATTTCAAAAGAAAAAAACAAAAAACCAAGTCATTGTGACATGAATGTTGATTAAAAGAAAGTTTCTTTTTCTCAAGATGTTGAACAAGAAAAAATTTTATTTTTAAGAAAAAATCTTTTCTTCTTTTAGATGTTTACACTTTATCTTTCATAAGAAAACAATCTTCACCAAGAAGAAAGAATTTTTTTGATTTAAAAAATTGAATTATCGATGAATCACCTTCGAATAAACGAAATTGTTATCAATTGATGAAGAATGAAATAAGGACGAAATTTATTATTATGTTTTTTCTTATCAGATAAATAAAAAACAGTGTACAAAGTAAATTATGAAATTTTCATTGAATTCATTTATAGTTTAATGAAAAGTTTTCGAATCATATTGTGTTAATAAAAGTGGAGAAAATTTTGTTTTAGTAAAAAAAGTACATTTTGTTTTACTTCAATATCAATGAAAAATAATGTATTATTCAATCTATTTCTGATTGGGAAACATTTACAAATTCTTATTGGTAGTTGAATACACACTTCACTAAATTAAATGAATCAATAAATTTGGATAGTGTAATTTACTGCACAATTTTTGTATCTCTGTCCTTGGGAAATTGGATACAGAATATGGTGTTATTGAAGAATAAACACATTCATATATATATATATATACATATATGATAAAATCAATAATGTACGCGACATGCATAAACACTTTTAGTCAATTTAAATTAAAATAGGACATTTTATTTAAATTTTATTTTCGGAATACTTCTACCAATCGTTACGGATGTTATGCCCATTGAACATCAGGGAAGCTGAAAAAGTTTGGTTGATATTGATTTATTAACTTGTCTTCTTTGTTTGTCAAACATTCACTTTTATATATTAATTTAGATAACAGTGTTTCTTTCAAGAAAAGTCACTTACTTACCTATACATGGCACCTGTTATCCATTAAATTTACTTTGTAGAAATATTAAGTATCACCTAATAGATACATATTTGGTCACACAGCCCCAACCGATAAGCACATTAAAGTAATTTATATTGTCAAACGATCTGATTCGACAGGAGTGCGAATTACTGAAATATGTACTGTACAACCGTTAGCAATTAATTTATTCAAACCTGAGCTTTGTGTTCATAAGAGACACATGCAAGCTATTGTTCTTCCATGGCTATAATATCTAATTTTCATAAACTTTAATTTAGTTAGTAAGAAACATTTTTAATACTTTAAATCTCTTTAATTTCAGTTATTCATTGTTATCAATTCAAGTGGACTATTAACTTTTACACATTTGATTTGAGCTTATTATCTTTAAATTTCCGATTATTAAGCAACTTTCTTTGATACATAATACGGTATTATCATCCTTCTATTTTTCGCTAGAAAATTTATTTGTTAATTAACTATGAATGAGGTTGTATAGCTTGAGTAAATAATATTGTCAAAAAGGTTTTGTTTACTGAATTATCTCTCAATCATTTTATCCGCAATATCCCAATAATCATGAAGTCCAACTATTCATCCAACTTGGAATACTCTTCCAAAAAAAGAAACGAACTGTGATCTGTATAAACTCAATACCAGTAATATACTATAAAATCATCTCTACCTCATTGCATTACTAGTCTCATATTCTTCATAACCATATATATATAAACAAACATATACATGTATGCTTGATTTTTGATGTGAATAACAATGATAGGATGATCAGATCTGTTTTTATTACGTTGAATATTTACTTATTTATTCTTCTATACTAATTTAACATATGCTAATTTTAAATTGGTTATTTATTCTTTGAGGAAGAGATTTGAATAAGATTATAAAGTGCCAGAAGTTTAATTTTTTAGTTCCCAGAATATTCCAATTACATCAGTTTACTATTACTTCGAAAATGTTGCTTGATGGTTTTATAGAAATGAAAATTCTCTATCATTTACACAGAGGAATGTATAGCATACAGTAAAGCAGATGTCTGAAAATTAACAATAAATACCTTGCAATATTTGAGGATATTTTTCATGAATAATAGAATGGTAGTGCATGTTTCGAGCTGTTCAGTAAAGCAAGGAGCACACTTTTGAACTATATATAAAATTAAGTATAAAAAACTTCAATTTGGGTGATAGCACAGTGTCATCAGAATAACGATAACCGGGTCTCTTTATTATTATATATTGTTCGTAATATTATAATAAGATTTGTTCCTGCAGTTCACACCCATTTATCTCATCCTGCTTTTGCTTTTTAGAATCTATCTCTTTTTATGTATTTTTATAGTTCCTGATTCCCTGATGTTCCATGATGTCTCCGTGTAATCGTGAGCTTTACCAAGTCAATTAGAGGACAAACGGTTAACCTGGTTCCAGCAATTCGTCCAAAACCCAACCTTGATCTGACTTCATTCAGTTACTATTCAGTATTATTTCGAAGTATTAAGCGAAATTAGTATTGTTATTCGACTCCCCGTTGATAAGTGTAAAATAAAAAATCAATTGTCAGAGACGACCATGCAAAAGGAACAGCTTTATATTTAAACTCGGATGGGAGTTAGTCATTAATCAATCTACTGAAAAATGAACAAATGCACACTCCTCAGTAGACAATATAGATAACGAAAAGTACATGAAATAAGGCTATTTCAAAACCAATAATGATTTGACGAATATCAGTTTCTTATCTCGCTAAATAGATGTACAAGTGTTATAATGTCTCTCTTATTTGTTAAATAACTTTCTACGACGAGTGTGTTTAATTTTAACTTTCTTCAATGAAGTAGGTTTTATATGAAAAGAGAATCGTTTTTACTCATTATATAGCTTTGTTTAAGTAATTATAAAGATGCAGAATCATTTCGGGTTATTTTGTGAAGTTTGTTAAGTAGTTCTGGATACTATAGACATCAGCTGAATTAAACTATTTCCCTCCTATCATACCTACTGATATGGAAGAAAGTTTTGCTGTGAGCTTACCGAAGCACAATTATCTGGTAGTGATCATGATACGTGTCTCGTAGATGTATTAGTTCGAAATATCTCTGCAGTACTTAAATTATTTAACACTACTGATTTACTATTCATCTAACGGTACTGAATGGAGGGACGAATATTAATATTAAATACATATTATAACGATGAGAAAAACTCCGAAACAAGTGAAAAATGAACGAGGACTCAAACTAAAATGATGTATGGAAGATAATTGTTGAAAATGAAGATCTGGAACATATATGTCAGTCTACAGCTCTCTTATTATTCACTGTGTTTATGTTTGTATCTACTTAAAAGCAAATTCAAATTCAGATATTCATTTTGTATATTACATAGTTATGGGGTTTTATTGTTAAATTTTCTGTTTGAATTAAGGAAGAAAGAGAGAATTAGTTTATTGAGGAACGTAGTAAGAGGACCCAGAGTCAGAAATGTAGTGGAACAAATACCATTTTGTGTAGACCGCCGAAGTTTCACTAACTTCAATTTTATGAGATGAGGATATTTTGAAGGGTATCCAGTCCGAGAAGAAGGGTTGAACTGAAGCCAAATTATCTGTGGAAATAAACTTTCGAGGGTTTATCATAACAGGTCAACGTCGGTGATGGCGAACTTCGATTGATGAAGAAATATCGTAGAGTCGGTGTTTGAGGCAGCGAAGCCGCACCATACTTGTCGCCATCTAATCTTCGTTCGTTCGTATACACGCTTAACTAGAAAGATTTCATTTATTCTCTAAGGATATTGTAGTAACAGGATGACTTTGGTACCATATTAGAGCAGATAAGACTAAAGAGTAGTGAAAGTTCGAAACTGTAACTACAAATCACATTAGTTAAGCAACTATACAATTTCACTTGCTGATTTATTACTAAAAACCGTGCATTACCTCCATTATATCGATTTAAATCTAAAACCCACAAAAGTATTCGTAGGCTGCTAGTAGTTCTCGACCAAAAGCGCTATATCTCATCTCCGTGAGAAAAATTTGAGAGGTTGCCACCTTTGTAAAGTTTGAGCAGCATTCCGTAATCCAAATGGCATTCGGAGGAACTCAAACAGGCCGAAAGGAGTCGTGATAGCGGTTTGCTCGATATCTTCAAGAGCGACTGAAATCTGATGATGTGCTCGTACCAGATCGATCTTAGAAAAGATAGTCGTGCCCTTGAGCGATACCGTGATGTCGTATATGTGGGGGTTGGAATAGCTATCAAAGCGTGTAACTACGTTTGATACTCGGCAGACGCCGCATGGTCTCCAACTAACCCCATACTTTTTGCGCACCATATGAAGAGTTTAGGCCGAGGGACTGTGAGAAGGACGAATAATATCAGTAGCTAATAAATTGTTAAGCTCACGTTTAGCGAAAGCTAACTTGTCCGGTGCCAGTAAGTGTGGTCCTGTCGTGACTGGGGATCCGAGGGTGACTATTTGTTGTACCACACGATTGGTCACCGATGAAATCTCCGCGAGTGGTGTAGTTAATTTGGGGAATTTCTCGAATGGAGCTTGGAACATATCGTCACGCGAATGAAAGACGCCTAAGATTCGGTACGCGTTCGTTTGAGCTTCGAAGCCCATGAATTTGCTGTTCGACGAAGTATCAATTAGCTGCAGCCTACGTGAATCGACTAGCAATTCATAGTGCTGTAGGAAATCAATACCGATCATGGCTGTGGGAACATCGGCAATGTTGAACGTCCAAAGATACTGTCGTCAGTTGCCCAGGTTGACCGTGAGTTGTCGTGTAAAAACGGCTGAGCCATTCTCAGAGCGTAGTCGAAGCATCGTGGCTTGTGACTTACTGTTACCGAGAGGTACAACAGAAACTTGAGCATTCGTATCTATTAGGTACCTAGCGTTCGTGCGATAATCGTGCACGCAA